TTCTCGGTGTAAGTTGTTCTAGACTTAGTCGTTGTCAGTCACCACATGATACTTATTAAACTAAAATATAAAATCATTCAATGTCTTACAAGAAAAATGTAAGTAAAATATTATTTACCTGAGGAAAATGGAACCAAAAGAAAAAATAATCGTTGAGATCATGACTAACATTTAGATACAATGAAAATACTGATGCTGCGTCTCATTTTTATACTCAATTGATAGATGCTCTCTTTAATTGTGTTTCTCCAAATAGGTTATAAAGCCCATCGAGTTAAGTTGCTTGTAACTGATATTTAGTCATGATGTTAGTAACGTCACTAATGTGTACTACATGAAAAATGAAAAAAAGTAAAAAAGAGATTAGGATATAACTTGACATGACGCATAAAGAGAAGTAGAGATGGTACTTCATCTCAAATTTCATTTTGAAAAAGTCAAGTCAAGTAGAATGGCCAACGTTATTTTAGCCAGTAAAGTGTCGAATTGTTTTAGATTCCAGACAATTTATTACATACAGTCCCATGAACTATGAATATCTTGCATACAGTTCGCGCTATTAAACTATTGTTGCTGAGATATTGCATTATTTCAGTAATTTGTGACACTCACATATAATTTCGAAGAAAATAATGAATTTAACTATAAATTGAGTTTTTACAGATCCTTCGATTCTTCCCCTACACTAAAAAGCGGTACGCTATGAAACTCATGAGATTTCGTGTTACTTTTCCATAACTTATAAGGTAGGATGTGAGTGTAGTGTGGGCAGCGCAGGTATTGCTATGGGTGAGATCGTAAATGTTAGTTTTCACTTCATCAACATCTGTTTGCAGCCCCCCACACCCACACCTATTGATATATTTAAGAAAGATTCTTGAAGTCTACTATTAAAATACTCAGTTGATTGTATTACAAATCAATTTAAATAATCCTAATGCTTTTATATGCTCAAAGGATTAGTACCGAAAAATCGAAAATCTCCGTTTCATCATGAGAAATGCCTTTTTTTTATGATTTTAATATAGAATTCACGAAAGTCACGAACATTTTTTGGTTTTTGTCACTGCGAAGGACATCCTATATTTTAATCCTGTTTGTTTGGCAGTGAGAGCTTTCATTTGATCCGAATATGTGTAATTATTTTTAGTGGACAACACAAACATCTCCATATGGATAGTTATTCTGTTTCTGTTTCGCACGAAATATGATTAAAAATTTGCTTTGAACATTTTCTATTTTCTAAAAGTTCACGAGCTATGTTGTTTCAATTACAACATATGACTATTTCTATATGTTACCAATGAACTATACCAATAAGTCACTTTAAGGAAGCAACAAATTTCATCTAAAAAAAATGCATTAGTCAAAAAAAAAAATATTAATTTTTCAAAGACATTATCATTTCGAAAAAGCTAACAAGATTTATTTGGTCATCTGATTTTTTTTTACATAGACATCATAATAGGAGCCTATAATTACTAAAAATTTTTATTTCTTTAAAAGAAAATTTTAAAAAAATCATCAAAACTCAGTTATCTAGATAAAAGTTAATTCATAAAGAAATTTTCCTAGACAATTTCCTATTATTAATCATAAAAAATGTACACCAAGCAGATGGCTGGCTACGTTTGAATAAATATTCCCAATGATTCATTATTTTTCCCTCATCACTAATCAAGACACACCTATTATTGTTAAATGCTTTCTTATTTTGATAAAACAGAAAAATATTGTTTCACCTTCACATATTTACTATTTTTACACGTGGCAGTCCACAGCATAAAAAACATTTGTTGAAAACAAAAAAAACATTGAAATATATTTAGAGATTATATTAATATTTAATGGATGAAGTCAATTCGAGTCAATTAAATACTAATGATGATGTAAAATCAACCGGTCCAGAAGAACATTCGTCATCGTCATCATCTTCATCTTCATTTGTCCTTCAGCAATCTTTAAACGATGGTCAACCAGAAGAAACACCTCGCTGTCAACTAAAAGCACCATTATATGTATCTCAAAGATATGAAGAAGATTTTTTTGATCATGCAAGTTTCAAAATTCATTTATATATAGAATTAGTTCGAAATAAAAGCATATTTTTTTGAATTTTAGTTTCATATCAATTATGTTGGTGAACTTGAACGTGAAGGTTTATTTTTAGCTTCTGTTCGATCTACTCAAACAAAACCAAGTGAAAAATGTAGAAAACTATCATCTTGCTCTCCAATAATAAATGATGACGAAAATCAACATTTACTTCGAGCCATTGTTCGGTAGGATGAGTCATTTTTTCTGAAAAAAAAACAATTCATCTGCATAAGTTTTTGAAAAATTTAGTCGAGTAAGCTTCTAAAATTTATTTATTTTTAATCAGTGATTATACAAGTAAAACTGAAATGAAGTATTTGTTTTTTTTTTTTGTTTTGATATTACAAAAAAAAAGTCTAAAGAATGAACTTTTTATTTCTAGTTTTTGTACATCGATATCGAAAATATAAAAAATAACTCATGAAAATTTCTTTTAAAGATATTTAACTAGTCAAATGTAATTTTTTTTTCGAAGGTTTTATTTTAATTATTTTATTTTATTAAAGTACACAGCAGAACAACTATGATATATCAGAAACAGTAAATGTCAAAAATGAAAGAAACATTTTACGATTTCTATTAGACAAGACTAAATTATCACCTATTCGTCATGTTGAGCTTATTCACGATATCAAAGTAAGAAAATTACTAAACAGATATATACTAATGTGCTTATTTGAGAAATTAAACGTTTTTAACATATGAAGGAAAGTCTGAATTGCTTCTCATAGATAAACTCGAAATAAATAGCAAATCTTTGGTTACTCCAATGATTGAAGTGATCGAGTAGCTCCTTTTTAACAAAAAGGATGAGTTTCTTAGTGAACTAAACAAGGAAAATCTATTTGTCGGTATTTAACTTGCGCATGAAAACTTTTCTTCATTTTAACAAGCGCTTGTTTGGAGGAAATTATTTTTTAGTCAATTTAACATAGTCAAATAGATAACTATTTATAGCTACTATTACTAATATTAATTCAATCCTGGCAATGTTTGACTTCAATGATATTCATATCAATTAGTACAATTAATACTTCATGCTCTTTGCGTTTGGATGAGAAGCATTCTTGAATTTAAAAATGCTTTGTTGTTAGTTTTTGTTTAAAATGAAACTCACAGAACACTTGTATAGAACAGCTTTCTGGTTGTTACCAGTTGCACGATGCATAAATTTTCTTTGACAAAAGGAGTAAATTTCGGATCGAACGACTCATTTCAAGATTTGTTCCATGCTATTTCTATAAGTAAATGGTAATATAGGGAAAAATTCGAAATAGAAAATTTTTATAGAGCAGACAGTTTTCGATCTTTTGATATTTACTCTGTTCCATTTGTTATTGTTGTTTAAAGATGATTTGATGTAAATTATTTATTAAGGCAAATGAAAAAATTCTTGAATTTGACAAATATAATGATGAACTATATTCAAATAAAATTGGTATTGTTTATCAACATT